TTTACAGTTTCAGACACCAGTGTCGCAGGCATGCCCACAGAGCACCTATGAAGACTTGGGCAGGGGTGTGTGTCTCTCCTGTCCAGCACCATGCACAGATTGCAGGAGTAACACACTCTGCCTTGCCTGCCAGCCCGGTTACTTCCTCAATGGTACCAGTAGGAAAGAATGATAATTTCTGTGTATATTTATTCTCTACTACTAGCATACTAAATGATTCAGATGACCCTTTTGTCCCATGCAGTACTAGCAGAGTTTGCGTTTTAATATACTCTTTTTTTCTTTACAAGAATGATGATTTCTCTGACTCTTCATTTAGATTGCAAATCGCGTCCTTGTCAGCAAACCTGTAACATGAGATATGCAAATGTATGTTTTATGAAAAGAGGCTAAAGCTTTGTTAATAAAGGCTGTAGGTATTAAAATAAACTTAGCAAGAACAACAGACCATCAAAATTATTTTAACATATTAAAAACATTAGCTGTCATTTATATTTGTGTACACGTGTACGCGTGTTGTTACATATTTCACGGGCATATGATTGTACATTGTGTCAGACAGGATCCATCATGGACAATCAGCACTTATTCTCTCTGCTTCACCAAGGTCCTGTATCAAAAGATCTAGGTCATTGTTTTATGCCTGGCAGTTGGATGGAATTTGGAGAGGGAGAGATGCTGGAAGAGCAGACAGAGGTGAAGGATTTAAATAGTTGAGATGGCCGATCTTTTTGAGACCACATCAGAGCCACTTAAAAAAAAACCTGACAACTGATAATGAAAACGTGGTTACTAATTAATATGACTTTTTAGAGTTGCTCTCTTAAAAATAGTTTCAGTAACTGATGGTGATTGTGATTGTAATCCTGCAAAGATTTCAAAGGCTTTCAGTGAAATAGTACACAGGTTAAAAAGATAGAGGTTGTAATAAATTATCTACTAACTTGTCACGCCTAGGTTTTTCAAGTTTGCTAATACAGATAAAGTTTTGTACTGGAAATAATGTAACTTCCTCTCTGTACTGCTCTGCCCCATCAGGAGGTGATTGTGTTAAACAGTGCCCACAGCAACCGTTCATGACTCCAGTGGGTGCGATGTCAGACCTGCCACAGCTCATGCCAGACATGCCACGGACCTCATTCAACAGACTGTGATGTTTGTCTTGGTGGAAACCCTCCTCTACATGGCCAGTGCCCTCTGCTCAACTGCCCACTGGGACAGTACTTTGATGGTAAGAGGAACAATCATGATGAGGTGTAATGTTTTTAGCTGTTAATAATTTTTCTCCCTTTTTAGAGAAAAGTAACTTTATATGGTGGTGAGGCCTATGTGATTTACTGCATTTCAGTAAAAAATAAACAGTAAAACAAAGTGAGTAAAGTACTCAATGGCAAATTAGTATCAGCTGACAATAGAGACGGGGATCATACTGAACAACATGATACTTGATTCCCTGATGGAAATAATTGCTTTTCTCCAATGCAAGGTCAGAGCAGAGTGTCCCTGGAATTTTGAGGGATTCACTGTCTTGTTCAAGGACACTTAAGCATGGTAGAGGCTTGCCACTGAGACAGCGGCTTGAACCCTGCTGAAGGACCTCTAGGTTGAAGGCGGTCTCCTACTCACTGTGTAACCTTTCATTGAAGAGCCATTTTAATGGTGCAATTTCAAAAGGGGGCTGTGTCAACAGCGTTGGAAACACGAACTGTATTGTTAAATCATATGGGCTAATCGGACTGATCATTTACTTTTCTGCTTCACTGATTTAATCATTTACACGCTTGTGTGGATAAGTTGGGGGATGTTCATTGTCAGAAGCACTTGTCATTTAGCCACGTTTTTTTCTAAACCACCTGCTGCTTACACTGTGAGTAAAAAACAATTTTAAGTTCATTTTGTAACCTCAAAGCATTGCGCTAATAATAAGAATAATGGAGTTTAACATTGGCAGTGCTGTGCATGTTATATGCCAGGAACAGGCAGCTTTTGAACATAAATGGTTTACTTGCCATGATTATAACTCACTGACCTCTCCAATCTTCATGTCAGCAGTAAGCCCTTCTAAATGTAGCATGTCAATATTTTGTGTAAACCATCATGACACATTTTTCACATTTTGTTATAGTGTAAGGTTGCTCTGTTTATTGTTTTATTTATAGGTAAATATGTGAATGTCACACCTGTGATTCATCCTGTAAGACCTGCTTTGGCCCCCAAGCACTGGATTGTTCTTCATGTTTCAAAGGTACAAATATTTACTTTCTTCTGTCAATATAGTAGAAACATGATTCAAATTCCTATTGTGCCGTGTACATTTTGGTGTCACAGGATACTTCCTGGACCAGGACGGTTCTTGTGTAGTGAAATGTACATCTGGCCCTACGCAAACTCTGCCACTCAGTTGTGTGAGGACTGCTCGCCAAACTGTGACACCTGCGTGGACACGAGTGATAACTGCATCAGCTGTTCAAAAAGCAGCTATAAACTTTTTCTCCACCAGGGCGGTGTTGGTCGAATTGCCCAGAGTAAGTGATTGAACGAAAAATATTGATATATCTGTTACTGTGTGTGTTTCATATTTTATGCCTTAACAAATCTCCTGACTGATTCCAGAGGTTTCTTTGAGACAGCAGAGGGGTCATGTGAAGCCTGTGATAGCTCCTGTCTGACATGTGATGGCACCAAGTCTCAGTGTCTATCCTGTGCTAATGGCCACTACCTAGAGAGTGGTTATGTGTAGACTCAACTGTTCACTGCGGACATACCCTGCAGATGATGGTACCTGCAGACGCTGCCCTCCCCACTGTGATGTTTGCTCAGATGACAGCACCTGTTTCAGTAAGTTATTAATAGTGTGTGCAGCTAAGCTTTAAGAGGAAAAATATTCCAAGTGGGTGACATTTTTATAATGTATTGTAAGACATCTTGAAATCTCTTGTTAGAACTTTACCACCCCTCCTCCGTATAATTTCAGAATGCAGTTTCCTCTACCTGATGCTGAATGGTGTGTGAAAGCTAGTTGTCCCATGGGCTATTATGAGGACATGGAAGAGGGCCGTGTGGTCAGTGCCACCCTACCTGTGGCAGCTGTTCAGGGCCCCTGGAAGATGACTGCGAGACCTGCTCAATGTTTAGCCCCAAACTCTACAAGGGTGCATGCTCCAAACTGCCCACTGGTACTTACTATGAAACTGAAGCTATGGAATGTCAAGGTGAGAATCTCAATACATAGATGTGACTTGATTAGATTTTTAAGCGGTGTTGTATATGCGAGGTAACAGTTTTCTGGCACTGTCCTTTTTAAATAGTTAATCAGTTCCCATTGTTTATGTATAGGGGTATGTCACCTAGGGAAACTTTATTTAAAATAGTCCATGTTTCACCTTTATAAGACGTAGAAGTGGCCTTCATGGCTCCTAACACAATGAAAATAATGCAAAAGAAGCCATCAAGATGAGGGATTGTGGCTACAATTTGGCCCATGGATAGTGCTGGAAAGATGCTGATGGGTAAACGGTAAACTAGTCAAATACATAAACTGTATCTGAAGTGAAACATCTTAAAGTTTTTGCCAGCCATGTTTTGTGAAATGGAAATCCGGCATAAGAGGGAGATCTTGCTTTGGTTTGTAGGAGTTTAATATAAGTGGTTGATCAGAAATTTCAGATGTGAACTTACACGTGATCAAAGAAGTGATGAAAGAACTGGATTTCTTCCAGAACTAGCTGGAGACACTTCATGATTATTTGCTTATTACTAAATTCACAGCAACTACAACCGCAACAGCGTCACTGCCAAGCTTTATCTGTGGGATAATGATAGAAGTCTAGTATTTACTTAAATGATAATCACTTAACATGGTGGTGATCCCACCCTCTTTGTAAACGATAAGACATTCCAATGATGCAGTCTGATTTGTTTGTCCAGTGCAGAATGCCACCAGACTTGTATGCGCTGTTCTGGCCCAGAAGCAAACCAGTGCACCCAGTGTGAGAAAGGACTCGTGCTGGATCCAAATACATTGTTGTGTGGCGTGACAGGCGACACAAACTGCCCACCAGGACCTACCTGCACGACGACCAGTTCACCTGCATGGGTTGCCACCGGCACTGTTACTCTTGTGAGGGGCCGGGCAACGATCAATGCCAGACCTGTGCCGTCCCCAAATACCTTCATAGTGAGCATTTTTTTCTCCACTAATGTCCGACTGCACTACACTGAAGTGGTTCAGGGTGTAAAATAAACAAAAATCCACAGAAAAGCTGATTTTTATTTGCATTTATTGCAAGCCATACATCTCCAAACTATCAGGTCTTGATAACAATCTTATTTTTAACCTTGATGACTAACAAACTATTTTATCAACTATTCTTTGCATTTGATGCCCTCAGTACACCTTGAAAACTGATTGTAAGTGACGGCTCTTCTGGGAATATTTCACCTTATCAGTCTTGGTTAAATGGCCATGTTAACTGATCAACAGCTGGATAGATTTATGATGGCAATAGGCGTGTGTCCATTCTATTGTCATGAGGAAATAGGAACGCCTTGAGCCATTGTCTTTAAAATTTTCAAAAACTCTTCATTTGCTAAAAACGTGACCACAAAATACACATTTTTAGCCATATCTGAAGAATTGATGATCGTATTTCACAGTTGATCGGACAACGAATTGGTGACACGCTGAGCATGCTGTGCAATGTGTCTCGAAGTACTGTGCCCTCGCAGTTGAGTCAACATAAAGTTATTAACTAACACTATTACAAAAATCACTTTTTGGCAATTCATAGAAGAAAATAATCTCATGTGAAATGTTTTTTAACCATCCTTTACAAGGTAGGTGCTAAAAAACTGTTCTGATGAACAAGAAAGAAAAGTAAAAATGAGTGCATGACTACTAATGAATTGGGAGTGGAACGTTTTTTGCATGTGTGCTATTTTCCAGATGGCACCTGTTTGACTGAGTGCCCAGCTGGTACATACAACACAAGGCAGGAGGCTGACGGAACAGAGCTGGGATTCTGTTTGCCCTGTGACCATGTCTGTTCCACTTGTACCGGAGCATCGCCAAGAGATTGCCTCACTTGTTCTCCAGGATACCTGCGCCTCCTTCAACTCTGTGTCACGCATTGTCCCACAGGGTACAGAGTTGATCAAGCTCTCTATTTACTTACTATTACAACTTCACCTCCTGTAATGGTAGCTGACTTTTTTTAGAGCGAGTAGGTTCTATGTAATTTCATCAGCAGTTGAACAACTCCCTCTGAAAACATTTCCAATGTGATGTCACTTGATATTTAGTCAGAGACTAATGTTAAAATATGTCTGCAAGAATCAAAAATCTGTGTACATGTCTGACTTGTTAATATTGATGATTTCATGCCTTTCTTCAGGTATTACAGAGAGGGCCCCTACTGTGAGAAATGTGACCAGTCCTGTGAGCTGTGTACAGGAGCAGGGCCTGAGTCCTGCAGGAACTGTCCACCTCCTCTCCTGGAGCTGCAAGGCACTAAGCTGTGTGTTGAGCGATGCCCAGACCGCTTCTACCAGTTCAGTGACGTCTGCAAACAGTGCCACACCAGTTGTCAGACTGCACAGGTGATTAAGGAGCTCTGTAATAACGGCGCTTGGAGAGCAGAACATCTGCCTAATGTTCACCTACAGTCAATATTTTTCACTTGTGTCAATACTGGACAACACAGTTTTTTCACTTTTGCGTAAGGAGTCAGTTCATGTATCGTCATTTCATTTTGTTGTACAGCCTTGTGTTCTATAATGATAACTACATTTATTTGATCCTCAGTGTGTAATGAATGCATGTTTGCAGATGCCTCGCCTCAGGCCTGTATGACGTGCGACTGGGGCAGCACTCTAAAGGACAAAGTCTGCTATCCGCGTTGTGAGGAGGGCCGATACTTCTCAGAAGAGGTGTGCTCTCTTTCACGTTATATCATAAATGTATATTTGTAAAAAAGGCCCTGACAACATATTTACCCAACCAACTTCTTATTATGGGGGATGTCTGCCAAATATTTTGGGTTATTTCACATGAGAAATGTCTTTGTGTTTTTATCTGGTTTACTGATGGAATATTGATTTAGGTTCAGCTGGAAAATGTGATGTCATGTACTTCTGTGCACCAGTCGGGATGTAGCAATATTGTGAAAGTTTTTATATCACGTCCACACTTCTATTATACTCACATGCTCTCTCTCTCTCTCTCTTGCTGTGAGTCTGCGTCACACTTTTTTAATCAATTGATGTTTTTTTATAATGCCTGGTTTTAGGGTTTGCTGCAGCCTCCTCAGCACCCCTCCTTCCCATGTCCATGCCTCTACACATTGAGTAAAATAAGTTGTTTTATTTAAAAATGGTTGAATTCTGAAATTCCGTGTCACTCGGGGGCCCTTTTTGGAGGGCAGGGCCCATTTCAATTGAAAGGCAGCCAATAAGGTTAGAAATTAAATTTTCAGGGGATTTTAAACCTTTTGTTGCATCTTTCTACAAAATGCAACACAAATGTGCAGACAGATATTTACTCAGAACAACAACAGATGGCAATAAAAGCCACTTCTGTACAAAGAGGTTTTCCAAAGAGACCACATTTGGCTTTTATGTACCCAGTGTAATAATTTGTGAAATTATACCATTGTAGGACACCTGTGAGCCATGTGACACCTCGTGTAGGCATTGCACTGGACCCAGACCCGACCAGTGTCTAACTTGTCACCGGGATTCTGCTCTTCATGCTGTGGAGAACCGCTGCGCCCGCTGCTGTCAAGCTGAAGGGAATGACACTGATTGCTGTGTTTGTGACAGCCGCTCAGGTAGAGACCCTGCCTATTATAAGAGAAATATGATTGTTTGGATACACTATCTACTAATGGCAGTTTTTTTCTCTAGCATTGTGTGTGGAGGCCCCCCAACCCAAGTCAGGAGACGGTCAGGTAACAGACCTGAATATGTCGTCTACAGTTCTGAAGCACACCTCAGCCGCTTTGCCTATTGCCCTGCTGCTAGCACTGGGGTTGGCTCTGGCTGTGTTTGCCTTGGTCAAGGCCCGTGCCAGGAAGAGGCTTTGCTGGAGCCAGAGCTATGAGAAACTCAGTGGCAGCGCCAGCATGAACATGCCCCACGGTGTGCCCGAGCCGGACAGTGGAGACGAGGTGGATGTGGTTACACCAGTAAAGGAGGATCAGTATATCGGCGCTACTAGCTTTGTCCATGAGCAGGTCGCAGATGTAGACCAGGATGTGGATGAGAGCACTTGTCTCAATCACTCTTAGATACATCTAAATCTCTGTAACTGAGCATTGCATTGTGGACACTCACAGGTAAATAGTTTAGTTTATGTTTAGAAGAGAATGTAGTTGTATTTTGCTTTGGTATGTTACTTTTTGAGTTCTGGTGTTTGATTTTACAAAGTGCCTGTACTTGTATAATGCACATTCTTAGATGAGGCATTTGTGAGTAAACAGTGGGGAGAAAATACATATATGTATGACTTTTTCTTTTTTTACTTGACATTAAACAGTTGAATTATCATGTATAAAAATTAAAATCTGCATGATTTGTTGTAAATACAAATTAACCACTCCACTTGATGTCTTGAGTGCAATTTGAAGACTCAAAGGTGTGTTTGATTTGTCTAGTGTAGTACTACAATTCGGCATTGGTTTGGAGTTGGTAGGTCACATGACATGGAAGCTATTGAATAAATGATGATTTTCCCATAACTGTTTTAACAATTGTAATTTATTGATGATCCCTAAGCTGACCCCCGGTGGTTAAAAGCGAGCTATCGGAGGTGAGATAACCGCATTTATACTGCAGAGACAAGGTGAAATGAGTAAGAAGCCGTCACTGGATCCTGGTGAATGTCTGTCGAATATCCAACTTAAAACTAACTTCACCGCGGTAACGAAACATTGATTGTTTTTATTTTGCCAGATTAAATGGAATTAGGCGATGGCGCCTAGGCAATTGGGCAGCAACGTGAGCCCGTGAGTTTTATATTTGTTTAGACTACATTTTGGAAAATTAATTTAGTCGAATTAACTATTAACAGTTAATTTTGCTGTGTACCATTGGATGATGACAACTTTCCCTGAATTACTTTGATAGGGAAGAAATCCTAAAAACCAGACAGGTTCTGAAGCGTCACTGTTCCTGTCCCAGTAGGCTGCATACAGTGAGTTACACTCATAGTACACTGTGCTGCAAATTGAGTATATATAAATACTTTGTTGAAAAAAAGCACACTCTTGAGCACTGATGTCCAAGCTCACATTCATCTGCCAAGTGTATTTATTTGTCAGGTTTAAGTCAGTAGCTTCCTGGTTACACAAAACGGACTCATTAGTGAGTTATTCAGACCATCAGGGGGAAAGTGAGATAAACACAGATCTATTACTGTAGACTACTTTATTACCATGCATGGCGCTCTTTCAGCGGCGTTTCTGGCAGCAGCATACCATCACCCTACCTTCCGAGAGCTGCCTACACTGCCAACCTGAACAACGCGTCTGCAACCTCTTGCTTTTCATTTCGGCGCCTATGTTAACAGGTTGTTAGAGCAGCCACAGAGCCCGCGTGAGCAACGCAAGGAAAGTTTGTTCTATCTGTCTTCACGGTACAGTTGTGTAATAGTCAGGGTTGCGTGGACTTCATACAGACATTTTTATTATGAAATCCTGCACTCTGTCAGTTTAAGTAATGAGCAGGAGTCTAATACGGAGTACTGTGGACAGTTCCCTCAGTATGGCTGTCCCAGGATCAGCACCTTGACAGTGGTTGTGAGACTTTAAAATGTGTTTAACTGTTTAAACTTTCAGTATGATGCTGCTGCTTTTCCTACTGTTTCAATGTCTTTATCTATAGAATAGGCCTATGTCACAGACATGGAGACCATAACTATATTAACCCTAAACCTAACCTTACCTTAAACCAACTCTTCACACTAAAATGTTGGCTCCCATAAGGAAAGAGAGTCCCCACTATGTAACTGTGTGTAAACAGATGTAATACTTAATCACCTGTGAAGCCTATATATATAAAAAATAACAAACTATAATAGAAACAATGTGTATATTAAATAAAATTGTGCATATAGAAAATCAAAATTCTTCTGTCACAGTTGCTATTGGCAATGTGGGCTAAACATCTATTTCCCATGCCAATACAGCCCTTTTGAATTGAATTGAATATTGTCTCCCTCCAACAGTGACATATATCTGCCACTGAAGAGAAAAAAATCTTGTCAATCAACAAGTCCTTTGTTGTCATGTGAAGGTGTTGTCTGTAGGCTCAATGTAGAGTGTGTACATAGCATAAATGTTGAAACATCCCCAGGACTTGTGCAACAAGTCAGATCCTACTTTAGGCCAACCAGAAGGTGTTTAAAATGAATTCCTTCCACGCCTTCATTTGACACACTACTTAGGGGGATGATTCAGCTTGTGCTCCTTTATTAAATGAAGAACTACAGCTTCTCCTCCTCATTGTAGTGTAACCTGCAGAGTAGACAAGGTCACCAAAGTCACATCAAGCAGACTGCGAGCAAGGAAATGGCTTTGGGATGGTTGTTGAAGGGTCAGATGTTGGTGAGGTCCCTCTCTCTCATCCTCACGGGTATGCTCCTTTATTTGTCCTTCAGCAAACTCTCTCTCCTTTGACAGGCAGTCATCATCTGATCACACAATACCACTGCAGTTCTCTATTGACCTGCCTGGCTGCTCGGCTATCATCAGTGGGGATGTAGAGAGCAAGAAGAACGAATTGGAAGTGCTTCTGGCATCCAGGAAAAGACACAATTTTCTATCTGAGGACTTCTACCTCAATGTGACAAAAGACTGCCCAGCTTACATTGAAAAGAGAGGTTCGATGACAGCGCGCTGTGAAGGAGAGGGATTTCCCATTGCCTACTCCATGGTGATTCATGAGAAGATTGAGATGTTTGAGCGACTTCTACGAGCTATTTACACTCCTCAGAACATCTATGTGTGCTGTGGACCAGAAATCTCTCAAAGAATTTCAGAAGGCTGTGGAGGCAATTATCTCCTGCTTCCTAATGTGTTTGTAGCCAGTAAATTAGAAAATGTGGTATATGCCTCATGGTCCGAGTGCAGGCAGATTTGAACTGCATGAAAGATCTGCTGAGCTCACATGTCCAGTGGAGGTACCTGCTCAACACCTGCGGACAGACTTTCCCATCAAAACCAATGGAGAGATGGTTCAGGCTCTGAAGGCCTCAATGGGAGAAGACACAGCATGGAGTCGGAGGTCACCAATGACTACAAGAAAGGCGCGCTGGCAGTATCATCACAATGTCTCTAACACAGTCATCAGGACAAGTGAGAGGAAAAGTCCTCCACCCATTAGCAGCCCCATGTTCCAAGGAAATGCTACTTTGTGGTCACAAGAGCCTTTGTAAAACATGTCATGCAGGACAGAGAGATTCAGACATTTCTGGAGTGGGAGAAGGACACATACAGCCCAGATGAGCACTGTGGGCCACACTAACAAGGATGCCTTCTGTTCCCGGATCAGTGCCTGCCAACATTAAGTATGACATGTCAGACATGAATGCCATTGCTCGTTTGGTAAAGTGGAGCTATTTAGCAGGAGAAATGAAAAATGGAGCCCCGTACTATCCTTGCACTGGGGCTTACAGAAAGCTGTTTGCGTGTACGGTGCTGGCGACCTCCAGTGGCTCCTCACACAACACCACTCTTTGCAAATAAGTTTGATCCCGAGGTTGATGACACTGCTATAGATGTTGGAGTCAGTTCTGCGTTTCAAGGCTTTAGGTAACGGCCAGTTATTAACAGATTAATATGCCACCATTTTGTAAAGCTTCTAATCATTTGAAATGTAAATATATATTGTAGAAACCATATTAATTTATTATAAAAAAATTAGGGATCTTCTGATGAAATGTATGAAATATTCTATTGCTATTAAGTCATTTCTGAAATATGATCCACATTGTATATATTTTTTAATTATGTGGCTGTTAATTTATGTCAAGATATTGTTATAGATCTGTCACTTAATATCTGCTGCTAATAATCTGCTCGTTTAATATTATTGCGAAGGTATGATGGGGAACTTATGCCATGTCTTTTTTATTTTTATTTTTTAGATTTCAATGACATGTGTTTGTGGTGCCATCTAGTGGATTCTAGAGATAAGTGGAAGAGATCTGCAAAGCTGAGGAAAAAAATGTTGGTTATTTGAATCTTAACATACTCTTCATTTGGTCACTGTACAGTTTCAGTGCTAACATAAACCTCTGTCTTGTAACAACTGCAAAACAGGACCGAGGAGAAAAAAATATATAAAAAAAAAAACAATGATGTGGATCCATGACTTTACTTGGAGGAAATGTTACACTAAGACAACATCTTTACTTCAAATGTTGCTGTCACCATGTTCTCCCTCAAGTCAGAGGGCACATTCAAGTGAGGGGCAAAAAATAAAACTTTATTTTCCCAGGCAGGATTTAACAGAGAACGCCAGCAGTGAACAGTGAAAAAGGTGCTGTCAAACTTGTTCTACGAAATGCCACTCAGACACCTAAAATGCAGTTTAAAATCAGAGCAACCATAAAAATATATTTTCTCCATTGTCACCTTTTGAATATAAATATATATATTTAAATGTAATAAACAGAACATGCATCAACCATTGTAACAGAGTGCCTTAAATAACGTGTAGATACAACAGTAACTAGGGAACACCAATAAGCTAAGTGTGACATGATATACCGGTAGTAAATAACTAAAAAGATTAAAAAGTTTCAGACAGAATGTGGAAAAATGCGAGGATTGAGCTGTAAAAAGTTCCAATGTAACAGGCAGCATAGTTTCAAAAAAGGCACTCTCCTGATGCAAAGAGCCAAGTCTCCAGTCACGTTGCCCAGAGCATATACATTAGATTGTTGTCTCCCCTCCACATCTTGCAGTGCGAGCAGGGTCACTCCGGTATGGCAGCAGTTGCGATCTCCACTTTACCGTGCATGTCCTTGTCGATTCTGCAGACAGATTCAATAGTCATCAGACATCCATGTGACTGGGATGGTGTGTCATCTAAAAGGGCCAACACACTGTCCATAAACACGCTTTTCATTTGATCACATCCTGAAATGTGAAAGTACCATCACACCACGCAAAGTAAATTCTTTGCCAAGGGAAAATCATTTTTACTTACCAAACCAATCTCCACCATACAAATTAATACCTAATTTGGTCTGTTATATATTCACACTAAAATATTAAGTACTTAA